GCTTTAATTTCACTTTTTAGTCTAAATTAGTTAGCCCAAACTAATCTTTTTTTAATATTTCACAGTGGATTTTTTTTAAACAAAATGTTGGTCACTATTAAAATGACATATCTAAATAATAATAATAGCATAACGTGTTACCGATGGAAAAGTGCAAACAGGGAATGACATTCAAAAACTTTACAAAATACACCTTTTTTCGTGGTGTGCCCTGTATCTATATAATTTTCATTGAATCACCAATTATGGCGTGTTTGCTCTAAGTGGACGACTTCAGATGGATTCATTGGTAAAAATTCTTTCCTTCCTGCATCGGAAATTTACAAACCTAGGTAAGTATTAAAGTCCTAATCTAAATATTGAATCATATTACAGCTTGTGTGCATTTTGGCAACAATAAATTACTCCAAAAGCTATTACGGTATTTGCAAAGGTCAACATCCAGGGTATCTTCAAGTTGTGTTTGTGTGATTCATTTGAAAAACACATGTTGAATGAAAAGTATTCTCTGAAAAAATTTTGTTCAAGAACTGCAATATATATTGCGAAATAAATTAATAAATTTCAAAAAAGCGTGATTCTGTGCATGTACAGCTTGTCTGTTTTATTTACTATTGGAAATTTCATGTGTTTGAGACTTCCAGGTTCATTTACTGTTGAAACATCATTATCATTCATTCTATGTTGCCAAATTAGTTTACAATAACATGATTTCCATCTGTCTTTGCGAATCAAATTTAATTGTTGTGAGAGTTTATATTCAGCCATTTCAAACAAAATGTGCACAGCAATTTTTGCGGTCAAATTTATCACAGGGATGATAATGGCATTCAGATTTAAACAAAATGAAGCTAATTGAGTGGCCGTAGATGGCGCACAGCATGTTTACGCGTGTCATTTTACAAGTGAGAGTGAGCGATGAGTGTCTGCATGGCATTGCTGTTGACTTGTATTGCTGTACTATTGCATAATTTGAATCTGCTGTTGGTGTATTGTGAACTTGTAGGTACCCGGGTAACACCACTCAGAATCCTACAAAAAGGAAGCAAGAGGAGATTCTGAAAATTACAATGAGCTCGCGGAAAACTGGATTATGGATTATGCCGCAGTCGTCGATTGACTCTGCCGGAAAGTTTATGTGTGTGCCAGTTCGTTGATTACATGGTGGTCACCGTCGCTTCCTTGAAGTCTCTACACTTATTCTGTATCCAGAAGTGTGCCATGTCGGTGTGCATTTAAAAGTTGGTCTGGTAATGGAGCTCCGTGATCTGGTAAGCTTATCATATGTGATCGAATTTCAACGGTACTTGGACCACGGGTTTATTTTGAGTTAAATTTGATACCTACTGTATATTCTTGTGGTAAGAGGACATTTTGTGTCAATTGAATTGTTTTATGGTGACACATTTGCTTTTTTTTTCGAATTCAAGAAATAGTTGTTGCGCCTGTTCACCATGAGAGGTGGAAAATATCTTGTCATAATACATTTCCAGAGGTAATTAATTGTTGACCGTTGTGTGCTCATTTTTGTTTTTTCTGGTTGATTGGGTAAAACTGTTTTCATTGACATGATATATTATGCTTTGCTAGATCCCATAGTGGGGAACAGTTCATTTTGTGCCTCTAACCCCACTTTAAAATTAAATATAAAGATTCTTTAATTATTCTACTACATTTTGTGAGAGTGACAGTGTATTATTTTTGAAGGGGATAAATCAATTTTTTGCCTCCACCTTATTTAATTTAACCAGTTATATAATTAACAGTGAGTGTGATTGTTGCTGAAAATTTATAAAGGTGAAGATTAATTAATATCTTGTATTTGAATTTGTGGCGAGGAATTTAGTGAAAGTGCAAATATTGTTTAGCCAAAAAAAATTGTTTGTCAGTTTCAGATCAGTTTAAAAAAAGTGTGCCCCACACATTTATTTTTAATTTTGTATACCAATGAATGTACATTTTCAGAGGATCCTTTGTCTGTCCAAATGATCCTGTAAGCATGTGCTTTGAGCATTTAAAAAAAATGTACACACATGTATCTACTTGTAGTATTGAATAATTTTAATAAACAAAAAATCAATAAACATCACTGCACGTTTTTCAAATTTCCCCCTTGGTTGGGAAGCAAAACATTTTTTTTAGTGCAGGTGGGAATGGCGGGGATCTGTACTACAGGGGTTCTGCTGTAATAATAAAATTATTGATCAATCTTTAAATTATTTTTAATTTTATTCATAGATGGTGTGTCACCACCAATCAACATTTCTTGCATATGTATCTTCGTGCAGTGTTCAAAATGAGTTCACAGTTGTGAGTATTCAAATATTCTGTCTTAGCTAAAGGGTTATGGTTGTCATAAAATTAGGATAATAGTTTTTGTAAACTAAGGAAATATGAGTATTGATATTTTAATTTATGCAAATTAGCCATATTTCTCTTGCAAAAATGTTTTTTTTTTGTATTTGTATTTGCTTCCTATGATGTATTAATTGACTAGAACATGACAATAATAAATCCACTGTTATGATGACAGTAATACTTTCACTTCCATCTTGCATAGGACCCCATATATAAACCAAAAATTAAATTTAGTGTATAATGAACCATTAAAATTTAACTTTATTTTGACCATGGAAACACCTCTGTAATTTACATTAAAAGCACAAGTCAATAAAACCTGAAAACTGACACAGAACAATTTAAACGCAAACATAATTATTGATATTGACATGGAAAAAATGTTGTTTCTTGTAATGGGCAAACAAAATATTGAGTAGGCAAATAGGGTTTCTATTTTATTTCAGTTTATTTTCCCCAACAAAATACCATCTAACAGGTTATTTTTTTATAACAATCATGCATTTATTACTGTCCCCTTCTAGTTTTCCATTACATCAAGTGAACTAAAAATATTTTGTGTGGCCAACTTACATAAAAATAAAATACAAATAGACTCATTTGCATAAAATAAAAGTTTGAGTTTCACCATAAATATGGGTTGGTAGGGTTATTATGGGAACTCAATTATGTTTTTCTTGGCTTTATTTCCTGTTGATGTTGTCCAAGATGAGTACTTATGTTGTGGATTTCCACTTGCCATATTTCTTGACCAACTTTGATCTATGTTGGTACAAAGGTAAAAGTCATAATGGAATACATATGCACATCAATTTATTTTTGTTTGGTTGACCTTTGACTGGCTGGTGACCAGTTTTGTTCCAAAACAAACTAAAAGCCAACATTTGGTCATCATCTTATTCACAAACAGGTTTCTCCTCTAACGCTAGTATATGCATATTACCGTAGTACAAAATGTATTTGAATACACTGCATTCACAACCAGTCCTACATGTGTACTGAGTGACTCCATATGAATGCAGCTTTTATTTCCAATGATGTAAGTATTTCTTGTGATCAGATTCAATGTTTATGTAGGTTTCTCCTCTAATGCTAGTATTTGCATCTCAGTATTTGAATACACTGCATTCACAACCAGTCCTACATGTGTACTGAGTGACTCTATATGAATGAAGCTTATTTTTCTAATGTCACAATTGAATTAGCAGTCATCACCATTTCTCTTGTCATTGTTACCAATTTCTTATCTGTGTTATTTCTTTCTGCACCATTTTTCGTATGTTGCCTCATTACTCATATATACATCAGTCATGACCTTTGACTTATGTTCACTTCCTCAGCCTATCCCTTGCTTTATCCCTTATGTCATTCTAATTTGCCAATTAGATGTCTGCATTGTTAGCATTTCCTTTGATACACCACTCATTCATCTCCTGTTTCCATGCAGTCCACGTCATTTCAAGTTTTAAACCCACATACTCTACAACTCTATCAGCTCTGCAGTTGTCTTCAATTGTTCCTCTACGTTACAATGAATACAGTCTGTGTGGGGTTTGTCACCAGGGATTTACAGTTCAGTTTGAGTAATGCATCACCCTTGTCCTGAGGTGAGTTGAATATGACCAAAACGCCAAGGAAGATAAGGCCTCAGTGACACCTATGCGTACGAGTCCCCACAGGCGGCTGCCTCACTCAAGCACCACATTGTCATGTTCTGGGTCATTCATGATCTGGGTCACATGAGGTCATTCCCCCTGACTTTTTCGTTCAATATCTGTCTCTTGTATCATTTCTTGGGCGTTAATGAGACAATCAAATATAATTCACTTTTATTTAGTTACTCATGATTAAAGGCCATAAATTGTTTTTTCAAAGACTGGGACTGTGACATTTATGTCTTGTTTATTTCTTGTCGATAAAAAAAACTTTAGTGTGATCATTTCCTGGCAGGTGGTTTAATTGTTATAGCAAAAAAACATTTAAGACGGCCTATGGTAATACAAGTTTCTAACTAATAGAAATATTACAATGAAATCCGACACAATTATAAATGTTGTGGTGTTGAAATAATTTTACAAGGTCTTTGTTCCTGTAACAAACTTTGTTAAGATTCATTAAAAGCCACAACAAAACTAATTTTAGTTTCTGCTCATGTCTGCATTTTCTTTTTCTATGCAATGTTCTATGGCTATGTATTTCAGTAATTTTTTTCAGTAAATTAACCCAATCATGACCAAAGGAAATTATAAACTTTAATGTGTGCAAGTACAGATAAAATAAAATAAGTCATGTGGGGTTATGGAAAATACAAATATTTATTTCCCTTGCCCAACTGTACTTTGAGAGGTGAAATTCTGCTTTAAACAGTTGAGGCCCAGCACATTGAAATACGTGAGAGTAGGTAGAATAGTCAGCTACTAGTCAATAGAATAATCAATAATGTCAGAAAATATCTGTCTTCATTG